TGTATACATACATTTATTGGGAGTCCCAATAAAAAATTCTAAAGTACTAGTACCCAGTAGTCAGTATTTCTAAATATTGTGTACTAGGACAGTTTAATTATTTTCAAATATTTCCCTTCCCTTTTTAAGTTATCATTTCAAACCAAGTCACTTTATTTAACAGACAATGACCACAACAGACTGAACGTGAGTGTCCCTTTGATGTCTTTCATCTAGATATGATTTATATTCAGTGTGTGAATCTGAAGTGTAATCTACTTGCAAAGCAATTATAGCTTCTACTACAGTGCCCAGATATGTTAGACATTACAATTTCTTTCTGTCTTGTTTTTGTTAGATTGAACACCATACTTTTTTGTAGTGGGCTCCCTAAAAAAAATAAAAAAAATAACTGACAATCTGCTGTTACTTGGTTCATGATCGTTTTATCAGGCATCAGAGGAAAACTGCTTTATCTTCAAACAATTATATTAAAAATACATGTAGTAAAATTGTATGGAAGTTTGAATTTGTTCTAGCCTGACTAACAAGTAACCATTCTCCACCATAATGGAAAACAGTAATTTCAAACACTACTTTAACACATTTATTTGGATTCTATGCAAATAAGCTCCAATACAAAATTATGCTTCAATACTAGCTTGAAAAAATGCAGCCAATTTAGTGGCATTACAAGTTCTTGATGTTTTGCCTCAGCAAAAGATTATTTTGAATATGAGCTTGTTCCCATAGCAACAGTGGTCTTTTTTTTTCTCAGTGTTAAGCCTATGCTTTGGTGGCTATGATTCTATTAGGTACCTGATTTGTTAAAATTACTAAGTTTTTTTTTATCTGTTACTCTGCAAACTTCCTATGTCCATCCTTAATTAACCCTATAACCTTGACCTCTTTCGCCTGCATGATTCTGTTAAAAAAACTCAATGCAAATGTTGTAGCAAAATTTTATTGAGATATTTATGATTATATTGATATGGTTATTAATTACAAAATGTTACTAAAAATAGAACTGACGTAATCATAGAGAACTGGAAATGAATCCAATAAGGACAGTGTGCACAGAGATGATAGATATTTTGAATTCCTACTATGTTACTTTGCTGTGGATTTTCTGTGATTTGTTATTGTCACAGGGTGCTAGTTGGGTTGAGCTAAGGTTTCAAATTGTCCCAAACAAATGACACCCATAACACCCCTGTGAACTGGGTCCTTTAACAATTCGAAACTTAAGACAGTTGTATAATTTATATGCGACATAAACAACAAGTACACGCTACACGAGTAAGGTTTAAACAACGTACTTTATTCCACACACCTAAAAGATGGGCAGGAAATGCCTGACACGTTACAAGGGGTAGTGGGGTGCACGTTGTGTTGTTACACAAAAATATAACACTAGAAATATAATTCAGTAATAATATTGTAATATTTCCACACGGGAAA